TTATTCTTGAGAAGTCTTGAGAAGTCAGAAGTTATTCTTGACAGGATTTGCGTATTAACTACTGTTGTACGAGATTTCCTTGAATACTTCTCCAGTCGTTTATTTTTGCTTTATTGTTGGACCTGTTTTGTTTGACGTTTGTCATTAAAACAAATCGACCATCTACCGGCTGCTTCCACTCCTTGCCTGAAGACACCTCGCACAGCAAGAATCTTTCAAAACTGAACATCAGTCTGGATGTTATTTCTGGACTAATGTTTGTGGACTTTTTCCTATTTTGTAGAGGAAAATCAACCAGATACGACCAGATACGACTTGTACAACAACAAAGAAATATTTATTAAACAATTTTTTGTTTGAATTAGTCAGAGCTGCTCCAACAGGTGTATTTACAAAGAAAACAGCTGTTTGTAGAAAAGTCTAGTGCACAGGAAACAGACATCAGGGCAATTCGTGTGAGTACAAGAGGGGGGGGCGCTCTTATAGGCACGGGGTACAAATGCAACAGTGTTAAAGGGACAGTTCAGAGGTTTTTCTAGTGGGTTTCTCTAGGTACAGACTTTTACCAAAGCATGATCTTTTCAGGACTGCCCAACGAAGACGCTGCTGAGAGTAAGTATAGCTCAAGTCTACAAAATGTTGTTATTTGATTTCACCACTAGGTGATTTTCCTAACTTAAAACGTACACTTTCGCATCTCTGCCTGTGATGTTCTGTGTTGTTAACATTTGTTAATAAATTACAAAAATGTACCGTAGGATAAAATTAAAGTCAACTTTAAAAATTTGTTTAAAAAAAAGTGGTTCTTTTGTGCCAATTTATGTTCAAAAAGGTGGAACCTACAGGTGAGAAACCGTCGGTACCTAATGTCACCACACCTCAGAAAGACGGAACTGTCACTTTAAAAAAAAAAAAAAAACGTTTGTCACATCTAATTCTTCAAGTTGTTTTAAACTAACAAACATTTTCCAAATGCTGAGAAAAGAAACATTCATTTTCAGGCAACAGCGACAGCGTTGTGTTAGCTTCAGGCTACATGTGACCAAACGCAGGTGGTAAAGGAGGAAGTTCTGACGAAAGCCAGTTCCTGCCTCGTAACACAGTTTGTTCGTATTACTAAATTCTACACTTGATGTGGGAAAAAGATATATTCACATTGCTAACAAAAAGCTGCTAATCCTGCCACGTCATGATGAACGGCGGCTGAACTCATAGAAATGCCTGCAGGTGGAGATTAAACTGAGGAACAAAGACCCGACTGTCATCAGAGACAGGAGGATAAAGAACAAACCTGGACTTGTTTCTTTTAATAAAGCTGTTATGGAACTCATTTTCTGCATTGCTTGATATGTATCCACAGAGGGCGCCAAGGTGTGTTCTGTTTTGTTACTTACTTATAAAAAAGCCTAGAAAGTGAATGAAGAAAGCCCTAAATTTTGTAACAAATTTGGCCTGATCTGAAATGACTTCAACTGTAATTGAACGACAGAAGAGAAAAGAAGTGAAAGTATCCAAATAAAAAGGCTAGCTGTTGGATACGCAGTATCCACAAAACAACGTCTGATTGATTTTTTGTTGTTGTTGTTGTGGGCATGGCTATGGCGTAAGATGCTATAGTGACAATTACTGATAAAGGGAAATGTCCCGCTAAAAGCAAAAAAACAAAATGGTCAGCTCAGATCAAAAATGTCAAATGACTATATATATGTGTGTGTACATGTATTGTTTTGTAAAGAAGAATTGATTTCTAAATGATGCAGTACTTTTCTTGACTTCATACTAGACAGAATCCCTTTCATGGCATTTGAGCGGGAAAATGATTTAGAACGTTTTACCTGTTTGTCAATTACTACAAATTGATTTCAATTTTAGTAGATATATTTATCCTGATATCACAGCAACATTCTTTCGTAAATTCTTGTCAATAGTCTATATTTGTTTCCCTAATAGTTCACATTATTCTGCTCATATATCTACTGTATGATAATACCGAGTCTGTGACACCTGTAAACTAATGATGAGTGTAATGTTATTCTGGAATGAAATGTAAAAAAAACAATCATAACTTTTTGTTGTGATTTCGTTTTTTAACAACACCAAGGATGAAGAGGGCACCATTCACTGTCTAACTGTGGTCAGAATGTCTGACACTGATTCACAGAGTACAGTTCTGCTCTGTTTTTCCATTTAAGTCAGTCCTGAAATGCTCTGTTTTCTCATTAGTGAAGGCGTGAGTGTGAAGGGAGTCTTCCACTGTGGTCAGAATGTCTGACACTGATTTACAGAGAACAGTTCTGCTCTGTTTTTCCATTAAGCCAGTCCTGAAATGCTCTGTTTTATCATTAGTGAAGGCGTGAGTGTGAAGGACACGCCCGTGACTCTGAGGATCACCAAATGTCTCCAGTAGTTGTAGTAAAGCAGTGGTTCTCAATCATTTTCTGTCATCCGCCCATGTTAATGCACGCCATGTTAATGAAGACCAGACCAGAGAGTCCAGATGAGCAGACACTGGACTGGACAGAGCCACAATAGACAAGCGAAGACCTGACCTCTGAACTGAACTCTGACTGTCGTCAATTATTACAGAGTGGTGTAGACCTTGCCTTACAAGAAACTATGGGTACAATCAGTATCATTAAATGAAATAGTGTGTCCTCGGTTCAAAGAACTAGTTATTGATGGTGAAAATGTAAACTATAAAACCTGATGGAATCTGATGGAACAGGCCACTGGGTGGAAGAGGAAAACCTGTATTTTACCGTATTTTCTGGTCTATAAGTCTCACTTTGTTTTTTTTTTCATCCTTTGCCTGGGTTTGCGACATATACTCAGGTGCGACTTATATGTTAAAATATATAATTTCCTGTCTTTGTTATTTCACAGTAACAGCCGCTAGAGGGCACTCTAGGCTTGTTCACCAGTATGTGCTACTCCTGTACCACTGAAACTGTACATGTTCTTTATTTTGACACCGACGGCCGCTAGAAGGCACTGCTGCGACTTATAATCCAAAAAAAATATGGCGGAATCTCTTGGGAGTACTAGGATGAACGATGGACAAGTCTCAGCAGAAACCAAAAGAGGAAAAATCTGACTTTGAGAAACATCTTCAAAACTTCAATAACTGATTCTGCCCTTCCCCCTCCACCACCACAGACAAAATATTGGAGAACATTAAAAAAAAGGAAACCAGAAAACCCCAACACTTAGATGTGATCACCTGGTCTTTTGTGGAAACATCTTCAGTCATAAAAACTTTATTTGAAGTGGATTCTTGTCTGAATTTAAAAAACTGGATTTAAAATGCTGTTTTCAGTTGGGCTCCGACACGTCCCTGAAACCTCTGTATGAAATCTGCTCCCATATTTTTATGTATATATACAACAGCTGTGTGATCATGACAGTGATTCACAAAAAGCAAGTGTAATAGTAAAAGTACAACAGTGACATTCATTAGCACAACAAGCACAAGTATTCTACCATCTTTACATCCTGACGACACATCAGACAGTTGGTTACTTTTTTCTACTGCTTCGTCGTCTTCTTCTTCTGTCTGAACAACGTTGTTCAAAAGAAAAGTAAAAAAGTAAACGTGTAGTTGTTGCCAATCCAGCCAAGCACCAACCTCAACTAACGTCACCTGCAACCTTTGTGGACCAAAAAATGTTGGAAGGCATGTAATGGTATCTACCAAAGAATCGCTCCTGGTGGTTTTGCTGTTAGCAGGCAAGCAAAACAGTTCTCCTGAGTGAACAAATATCGAAGGGGCTGCAAAGTGGGTTTTTCAAGTTAATGCCTCTTTGCTTTAGTACTTTAGCGAACACGTCACATGAAAGCAGCAAAATGTTGTGCTGTTAGCTGGCCCGCTAAACAACTCTTAACCAAGTTATTGACTCTCTGGTCTGATGTCATATAGGTCAATAGGTTTTGATTTAATTTCTATTAGTCAGCTGTGGTACTTCACCAACATCTGCAACAACAGGCAACTTCGCACGTTTCCATGTTGGCATTTCAAATAAAACGTCTGGTACAGTCTTTGTTTGACACAGGTGTCTAAACAGTTTTTTTTTTTTTTGTTTTGCTACCACAAAGTTGAAAATACCATTACATCCCTAGGAGTGTGATTTATTTATTTTTTTATTGCCTTTCTACGATACTTACAGAATTGATCCAGAAAAGAAAACACAAGGACTTTACAATAAATAGGAAAATACATTTTGCCTGGCAAAATAATCAAAATGACTTCTACACTATGTACTACACTGTCCAAATATGTCACTGTACGCCCGTGTTGGCTGCTACAACTGAACAATGAGATTTAAAAAACAAACAACCAGACAGGAAAACAATGCATTGGTTAATCCACCATGAATTCATTCCTAAACAAAGACGTAAGGTTGAGTGCTTCTTTACATTTTCATTCTTCTTTCTTTTTTCACTATTTTCAACCAGGGTCCAACACAGTCTTTTAGAACCTGAGAGGAAGGTCAAGTCTTCCTTCATTCATTTTTCCGAGACGTGACAAGCAAATCTTTTTTCGGAACCTTCTCCACCCCAGTGTGAGATTTAATCAAGTAAAATCTTTCGGGGATGTCACAAGAAATCTTCAAAAACATGACAATTAATAGCCAAAGAGAAACAAACCATCAAAACTTGTGTGTGAACTCCAGGGGACGCTGTTGTGCTTTTTCTTCTTCTTCTTTCAAAAGAGTGATTGCGTTCAATTTGGTGTCTAAGGTATGTGTATGTGTGTGTGTGTGTGTGTTTAAAAAGTGTGTCTGTGTGCTTTTTGCTAAACACAAAACCTTTGTGTGCCATCAGTGTACCGGTGAACAGCAGTGTGGCCATGACTGTTGTTGCCCACAGAAAAGTCACAAAATCACAATAGTTCCAAGTCAGGAAATCAATAGGCTTCAGCGTCGAAGTCCTTCTACAGAGACATCCCTGTAGTTTTTTTTTTTATTTATTTTTTTATTTTTTTGAAAAGTGCTCCTACGGGGAGGGGGGAGGGTTGAAGGGTTGGACGGCCTAGAGTCCAGTCAGGTCAGTTCACACCCAGAACTGGGAAGAGCTTCCTAAAACTCGGGATGCTATAAGGAGAAGATGGATGCCAGGAGCATGAGGGCGGAGCTAAGAAGAAGCAGGGACACCTGGTGCTGTCCAGCTGAGTTCACATCCCTCCGAGCAGGTTCTGGTGATTCGTGACTGATTCCATCTGAAAGAAAAAAATGGAAAATGGAAGGGTTTTGAGGACAAAACTGCAGATTTTCTTTGGCGGGTGTGCGAATATACAAGCTTCATGCATCCGACAAAAGGATTTGTGAATTTATAGCTTTAATATTCATGAAATGGTAAATTGAATGAGTTACATTTTAGTAGCAACGTGAAGCTCATGTTAAAGTCACTAAGTAAGAAGTTCCCAGTTGGGGGGGGGCATGCCTCCTAGGGGGGCAGCAGTACTATTGCGGGGAGCGGCGGGGGAGTGAATGAACGAAAGGTAACACAGCATATTGTCCGATGCTGTAAATATTTAACAAGAGACTGGAAATAAAATACAAACTTGTTGAAGGCAGTGTAAAATTAATATCTGATGATAATGATAATAATATAATGCAAAAGAAGGCCGTTCATTTTAATTCTTGTTCTTGTGTCTGCTGTCACCTGTGTCTGAAAACAAAGTATGTATATACCAATGGGGGGGGGGAGGGGGTCAGTAGATAAACATTGAATTTTAATTCATATTTAGTCAATTGCGCTACAGTCACGTTGTCCTTGGAAACAAGTGTTTTGAAGTCAGTTGTGGAGGATGTAATGAGAAAAAAAATTCCAGAGGAAATTAAAAGAAGAATAACTTGGAATAACGTGAATGGGGGCCGTTTAATTATAACAGGCACACACACACACACACCACTAACCTCTGGGTTCTAGAGAGTTCTGACTGTTGTCTTCAAAGTCCACACCTTCCTGTTCACTCCCAGGGCTTTTCACACAATTGTCTTTGGAAAAAGGGGAAAAAAAAACATTAAAACAGCAAATGAAGGAGGAGGAGGAGAGAGAGAGAGAGAGCGAATCAAACTTCACTCAGTCATAACCTCATCACGACTGCGACTGAACCGCAGGGACATAACAGTGAGTGACTCACTTTGTGGTCTGACGAAGACTTTGAGTCGGAGACAGCTCCTCCTTCCCTTGTTATCAGTGATGGAGGCTGTGGAGACCAAACACAACGTGTTACACGTCATTCTTCTACTTCCAAAGGTCCCGATGCCTTAGAATGTCAAGACGCAGGAATATAAACCAGAAGAATTACAGGAATTGTAGGGAACGTTGGGGGGGAAAAACACCGAACATGTTGTTTTGGTTTTTCCTTCAGACACTGATCCTGGCAGTGGTTCAAATAAAGACCTTGATTTCTCTACATTCCAGGCAGTTTCTCTGTCCCATTAGGAACCAAACAGAGCCGCGATGACAGATTAGAGCGTCTCCTTAGTTCCTCCTGGGAACGTTCGGTCTGTGACTACAGTCGTATTCTACCACCAATGAAAAACACCATAAATACACACAGTACTGCACACGTGCAGTAATGTCAACAAGTTCAGTCAGTTAAACACATCATTTAGAGCCTCTTTGAAAAGACAACACTGGAGGAACAAATAAACAATCGCAGATGTTTTGGTGGACTCTAAGAAAGAAGACACGTCTTCGTGTGGGTGTTGACCTTTGACCTTTTAATGAATGAATCGGATCAGCTTCACCGTCATTTCTCCAATTCGACCTCAGGAGCAAATCACTTATGCAGATGTGTCATCTAATGTCGTGCTCACCTTACAAAAAAAAAAAAAAAAAAAAATCGAATTTCTTGAGACCTTTTTCACCCGAACATTAAAATTAAAGAATAAAATGTTGTAAAAATAATAAAATTGTTCATTCTTGTTGTGATTGCAAAAATAGGAAAAACTAATTCGTTTTTTAAAGTAGATCAGGGAACCATTGACATCCACAGAGAGAAAGTGAGGAGAGATAAAGAAAATCCTTGTGTTGTCACTTGAAGAAGAATCTGAGTGCGTTTGGTCTGGATGATTATTTATGTGCAGACAAGATGGATTCAGACTTTTGCACATGTGAACTCGGATTTTGACATTCTGTGTTTGGATATTTAAGACGCTGCCTGTATGGGTCTGCGGTTGTCCGTATGTGGTTGATGAGTATGTATGGTTCTATAGACACTCCACCAGCTTACAAATCCACCCATCCATCCATTTTCATCCGCTTATCCGTTACCGGGTCACAGGGGCAGCAGTCGCCACCCAAATCACACTGCACCGTACCAACTCCCCTGAACCTTCCTGCAGGTGGTGAGTCCACTGGAAGGTACCAACCGCCCTAACCGGGATTCGAACTTGCCCAGGAGGTGAACCCTGGGGTTCCACACCAATGACAGAGACATTGCCTCTGGGCCAAAGCGCCACTCCACCAGATCAGACCATACTATACCATAGCATACCGTACCATACCATAACAGACCATAGAATACCAGACCAAACCATACTGTACCATACCAAAAGAGACCAGATCAGTAGTCAGTGTTTCCAACATCTCTGATTTCAGAGATGTTGGAAACACTGACAGGGTTTACAGACATTTTATCAGATGCCAGTGACTGAAAGAAACATCTCCACCGACAATGCGAGAAAATAACCCCTGTCAGTGATGCAGCGTCTGACCATGTCAGTGGGTGAGGAAAGGAGTGAGTGCTTGTCGTGGACTTTGGAATTTCCACCTTAGATAAGTTATGTTTATTGTTTATTTATCACTTATTATTTTGACTAGTTGCTAAACAAGTTTTGTTTTTTTTTTTCCCATTTGTATAACGTTGGCTGTGGACTGAATCAGTAAATATAAAACTGACCATGTCACTGAGGATGACCAGATGCTCTGTGCTCATTGGCTGATCTGATCAAACAAGGCCCTTTGTCTTCACTTCAGCTGTGAAATGATGAAACAGAACTGGAGCTCAGATGATGGAGATGGGGCTCGGGGTCAGGAGGTTGGTGGTGGTGGGGGTGGGGTGGTCAGGTCAGTATCAATGGGACTCTCCTCTGGAGTGTTTTTAAGAACGTGGGGTTTAACTGGGGGGAGACAGTCAACCCCCCCCAACACAGGGAGAAGCAGCCAGACTCTCAACTGTCTCCTCTGAAAATTGGATTTCTATCCCCCTAGATTAGGACCAGGCTTTCCCCGCTCTGCTGAGGCTCTATTAAAAAAACACGCCGCCCTCTGAGGGTTGTACTCAGTGGCGCAGACCTACTTGTCATCACTGGGACCTTTAGACCTACTAGGACCAGCAGCAGTGCTGTGTCAACACCAGGCTTTTCCCAGGTGTCTGTGTCTGTCAGATGGACAGGCTAATAGTTAAAACAAAAAAATAAGCTAAATCATGACAAAGATAACTTTATCTTTGCCAACTTTTGGCCCAGATATGGTTAATATTCTAAAACAAATATGTAGACTAAAACAAACATGTAGACTAAAAATACAAATTTAAAAAAAGGAAAGCAAAAGGTTGGCTCGGAGAAATCTAAAAGTTAACACAAGAAAAGCTGAATAATTAGCCAGAATAGAGCTAAATATGTAGAAATTACTAGACCTGGGAAAGAAGCTCAGTTCTAGACAACAGTTAGCTAATCCAAAAATATAGCATCGTAGAAAAAAACATAACAAACATTTAACCAAGATGACAATTAATGATATTAAGAGTTGGCCAAAGTAACAGTGTGTTTGGAGGAAGAGCAGTTTACCAGTATAGTAGAGGTCAAAAGTTAACCTGTAGGTTAGCCAACAGTTAGCCCGGTGTAGCACATTTTCTCCCTAGGTTGATATGCAGCTTTTCTGCAATACAGAAACTTCCAGAATAAAACGAAGAAAACAAACAGATATTTTGTTCCAAGACTGAGGAGTTCTTCAAACAAACAGATATTTTGTTCCAAGACTTTTGCTTCCCGTCGGCACCGTCCTGATCCAGAACCGTGTTCAGCGGCTGCATTACAGTGAACCTCCTGCTGTTTTATCAGCTGCAGGTATTGATGTCAGATTCCATGTTAACAGTGTGGAGCCTTTATCGAAGCCTAACAATAGCTGATAGTTAATACCCGTGTCCAACATACAATACGCTTAGGGAATGTGTTCGAGACTCCATGTACATGACAGTGGAACAGGGAGGTCCACGTCTGCCTGTCCCCGTGAAGACAGAGGCGTCTTTGTCCTCTCGCCTACTGATTGTCATTTGCCCCAGGCTGGACAAAGGTGGGGGCAAGAAGAAGTGGAGGGAGGGCACATCAAACTCCTGACACCTGCAGTCGGCTACGAGTCTGTGTTTTATATGAACAACAAGGGAAACTGACAGGAACTGATCTGGACTGGTCCCTGTCCAAACAGGTCAAAGAGTTTAAATGTGAAGCTTCTTCATGTCTTTTGTTTAGTTTTCTGCAATTTTTTTTTTTAAACATCTTTTGTTACATTTGAGATTCTTTCGATTCAATATTAAGGCAGTATTTAGAACATCGCTTCTAAAAACCAAACATCAACTTCTGGAACATTCTTAACAACAGCAAATGGACAAGGATACATAGTGTAATAAAAAAGTTATCAAAGTTATCAAATGACCACTTGAAGACCATAACAGGGAAAATCAGCAACCTCAAAAAGTCAAGAAGTGTATATTATATACACTCAGCTACTAACAGTACGGACCAGTATTCGCAAATTACTCACAATGTACTGGCATGCAGTACATAAAAGTGCAGTTATCTCACAACCGCATGGTTCGTGGTTCCATTTCAGGTTTCCCTACCTCCCCCTTACCCCCTCAACAGCCTGGATGACAGACTCTGTAGTGTGACCTGCGACTGTGGTCAACACATCTATAACCGTCGTATAAAGAACAAGGACTGTGGTCAACACATCTATAACCGTCATATAAAGAACAAGAACATTAACAGTCCTACGTTTTTTTCATGGATGTGGTGGACAAACGTGAGGAGATATTAAAGTGGAGAATACCGCAGAAACATATTCCCAAATGAGTGATAATGTTTCTTCCACAGCGCTTGTAAATACAGTAGAGTAAAACAGCACTACAGTCATGGAATTATCTTTAAAGTCTACATTTTCTCCATAACACATCATGGTGTTTCTTTAGAAGCAGCTAAAACAACAACCATTAACTGACTGTTCACCCCTGAGGACACAGGGATAAAAGGTACTGCAGTACCTGAACACAGTACAAATAACTGTATTGTGTTACATTGTGGTGGCGGTTTGGCCCAGAGGCAATGTCTCTGTCATTGGTGTGGATCCCCAGGGTTCACCTCCTGGGCGAGATCGAATCCCAGTGAGGGAGGTTAATACCTTCCAGTGGACTCACCACCCACAGGAAGGTTTGTGGGGTTGGTACGGTGCAGTTTGATTTGGGTGGAGACTGCTGCCCCCGCGACCCGGTAACGGATAAGTGGATAAAATTGGATGGATGGATGGTGTTGCATTGTGTCTCACCACAAAATCACGATTCATTCTCCGGGCTGTCTTTTATTACTGTCTTGCAGGATCATATCACAAATTCTCAGGGAAACAAAATGTGTCCTTGGTGAGCCGAGCTGTAATGGATGAATCAAGAAGATGAGTCAGAAGTGGGACGGTCCATGTGGTCACAGCCACCTTTTCCTCTGCATAGTTCCACCAATCATCAAGCTACGGCCCGGGGGCCAGATGTGGCCCGTTCAGCTTTTTAATCCAGCCTGCCAAACTTTTCCAAATGATATATATTTCATTTGAATTATCATTATACTTCTGCCTTTTCCCTGCAATATCCATGTTTCCCCAATAGATGCTGTAGAAAATGCTAAAAGCCTTTTAGCATTTTAGCCTTTATGCATGACTTTAACATGTCGTTTATCTTAGTTAACATGAACGCTCCATCTATCTGCTCCTGACCCGGCCCCCCCTTGTTCAATTTTAGGAGAATTGCGGCCCGCGAGTCAAAACTTTTGCACATGCCTGCTCTAGTTCTACATGGGGAAACGTGACACATCGCTGCAGTTAAGAGGTTTGGAATCACTTTATCTTGATGTGGCCTCAGGACAATTTACATCAACTTGTGAGTCCACATGCTTTATTGGCACAAAGTCCAAAATCAGTGAAGCGAAAAAGCTAAAGGTTGGGGGATGAACTTGCTTATCTTCTTTACTACATGGAACTGTTTCCTGCAAAGGACAATTTTTTTTTCTATTATTATCTATAATTAGAATTGAACGGAACAAGAAGATGTATCATTTTGTAACAATATCTGCCACAGTTCTTCTACAGTTTACAAAACCTGTTTTCCAAATATTTAAAGAGTTGGCCAAAGAAACTACAGCAGTGACTGAAGATTTACGTAGATTCAATATTAGCTTTTTGCTGATATCCGATATGCCGATATTGTCCAGACACCTGAATTATTACATAATTATGCTAATATTGGTTGGCCGATATAATCGGACATCCCTAAAAACAAGTCTCTACCACGACAGTCTGTTTTCAGGCCCTAACACTGACCTTGTGTCAGTACTTCCTCTGATTCCAAAAGCCTGAAATTATTTTCTTAAAATCCATATAGATATTGTTTTTCAAAAGGGAAAACATTAAAACACGATCCATTCATCATTCGAGTCTAAAAGGTGAAACTCTACGTCATTTTGAAATTCAAATGTGCAGCTTCTTTCGACAAACATCTGCGCAGCACCTGGAGGCGATGGAATTGCAAAGAGGAAAAAAAGAATTCAAACGGTTTTACTTCGGATCTAATATCAGAACGTGTTTTCCTCTGGCAGCACCTGCTCCGTCTTAATATTCACGTTAAGACCTCCTTAAGTCCTTCTGACCACCAGCTTATGGAGCCAGATTCCAGAAATCCGGCACAGAGCTGACTGTATCTGCTTTAGTCCCAGTCTTCTGGGCACTGACGGACCCACTTATGAAAACACTGCGACCCAGCTGCTTGTTTCCCCCACGTATTCTCACGCGGTGAAGGAAGCTGAACGACAGACAGCAGCAAGAGACCACAACAGTGGAGATGATTTGCTCCCGGCAGCTCATGTTTTGGCTTCCTCTCTGCTGCTTGTTCTGAGGACATACAAAAACAAAACCCAAACTGCTGCTGTCGTTTTTTTTGTGTTTTTTTTTTACTGAGTTGGATCTGATGCCGAGCTTCTGATGTAAGTCTTAGGTGGAGTGTGTTTTTTTGTGTGTTGGGAAAGTCTCTACTGACATCACACTGGAGTTCTCCCCTCCTCTCCCCACCCCTACAAAAAATATTTATTTAGCTAAGATTTTTCCCGTGAATAATTTTGGACTCCTTGTTTTGATGTGAACCATGGGAATTGAAGCATTTGCGGATTTTGTGCAGAAAAACCGCTAGAATGTGGAAAGTCATGTGCATCAGAAGAAATTCTCAAAAATATTTAAGAAAGATGTTTTTTGGTTATAGACAGAGAAAAGATAACTCATTATTTTATATATATATTCAAGTTGGCTTTTATATACATACATATATGTGTATGCATACATATATGTATGTAGAAAAGACAGAGAGAAAAGATAACTCATTATTTTATATATATATTCAAGTTGGCTTTTATATACATACATATATGTGTATGCATACATATATGTATGTAGAAAAGACAGAGAGAAAAGATAACTCATTATTTTATATATATATTCAAGTTGGCTTTTATATACATACATATATGTGTATGCATACATATATGTATGTAGAAAAGACAGAGAGAAAAGATAACTCATTATTTTATATATATATTCAAGTTGGCTTTTATATACATACATATATGTGTATGCATACATATATGTATGTAGAAAAGACAGAGAGAAAAGATAACTCATTATTTTATATATATATTCAAGTTGGCTTTTATATACATACATATATGTGTATGCATACATATATGTATGTAGAAAAGACAGAGAGAAAAGATAACTCATTATTTTATATATATATTCAAGTTGGCTTTTATATACATACATATATGTGTATGCATACATATATGTATGTAGAAAAGACAGAGAGAAAAGATAACTCATTATTTTATATATATATTCAAGTTGGCTTTTATATACATACATATATGTGTATGCATACATATATGTATGTAGAAAAGACAGAGAGAAAAGATAACTCATTATTTTATATATATATTCAAGTTGGCTTTTATATACATACATATATGTGTATGCATACATATATGTATGTAGAAAAGACAGAGAGAAAAGATAACTCATTATTTTATATATATATTCAAGTTGGCTTTTATATACATACATATATGTGTATGCATACATATATGTATGTAGAAAAGACAGAGAGAAAAGATAACTCATTATTTTATATATATATATTCAAGTTGGCTTTTGAGGAAATGTAAGTACTCCAACAATCATCGATAACAACTCTAATTTTGATTTCAGAGACAAATATTACTCCATTGCAATATGTTTCAATATACTTCATTAAGTGTATATGCAGATAATGCCATTGTAAATGTAATCATTTGTCTCTAAATCAAATTAAACCAATTTCCAATACTTCTTTATACCAACAACCAACAGCTCCACGAATAATCGACATGTAAATATAGCAGTGTCCGATGATTTTAGCTCAGAAATTCAAGCTCACACTATGGATGTACAACGGCAACAAATGATCCCAGCAACTCTTATGGACAAAATAAAAGTCTATAAATCAGACTGTGAATATTTAAGTTGATGCTCAGAAGCATTACGGCACATTCCAGCTGAAACCCAAACAGTGGAATCAATGGTGTAAATAATACACAAGCTAAGTGCACACTCACAGATATAGTAGTACTCTCTGCCAGGGCGAAACTCAAAGCCCAAGGAGAATGGAGTGAAGAGCTGGAACTTCTCAGAGAACTTCAGGGGTCCGTTAGGTGAGACAGGCCGGTTACACTCCCAGCGCTTGAAGCCTTTAGACGTGTGGTCACAGGAGCTGTATCCATCATAGTTCACCATGTAGAGGACGTAGCGCTCGGCGCGGTCATCGGCCACCGGCGCACTGTAATGAGGACAGTAGACGTCGAGGTAGTCGTTGATGCAGACGTCAATGTGGTAATCACTTCGGTAAAACCTGGAGTACAAGAAAAGATACATGAATATGAAACACATTCAAAGATCTGAATGTTAGCGTCTAGGCGAAAATACAAGAAAAATCGCAGACCAAGGAGCCAAAATATTACTTAAAGTTAGAAAAACTAGCCAAATAAGGTGAAGAGTGTGACTAAAAACAAAATGCTTTCGGTTAAAGATTATCTAGAATAACTATTTTTAGCCACAACAGTAACTAAAAGTGTGACGTTTCATATTTTGGATAATGTTCAGCCACTAGGGAGTATAAAATAATACAAATTTTTTCTAAAAGTTAGGTCAGAAAACAAGGTAGAAACACTAATGTTGTCATGAGTGGGTCTATGGTTTGAGATCCAAATATAATTCCCACAATGGCTCCACACATACATTCCATACAAGGTCACATGATGTTCCATCCTGATCCTCTTGAGGATTTATCTATCCTGTGTGAAAAGGTTTCGCTGACTGTGCACAGATTCTCCGCCAGAGGCCGCATGTTTGAGCAGTAGAAGATGATGAAGTAAGTGGATACTGAGTCAATTATCAGCTGACTATTCTACAGAGAGAGAGCAGAATTGTTTGACATACGGAAGCCACAGGAAAGCAGAAATGCAAAATGCGATGAAAAGTGTCTTGTTAAACAATTGATTACTAATAAATATTTAAAACATGACACAATTGGTTCGTTATATTTAAGTCAGTCAAGACTTATATTCAAGACTGAAGATCAGTTTCTTGGAATTAAAGATACCCAGATGAGTTTATACGCTGATGACGCCATTGTGTTTTCTAAAGTCATGTTGATACTGTTGTTTCTCTCTGAGTCAAGACTACTGTCCAGTAGTATCACTATCACCAGCATGTCTTTATGGCAACAAAAAGCACCAACAACCACCAAAACAATGAAGTTGTCACATGACAAAGGTGACAAAGTGTGTCTTTTTATCACCTACTACTATAAATTATATACATTTCAAACTTGTGGCTGTCATTTTTTTTTTTAATTTTTGGATGAATCAAATCACATCCTCAACTTGACAGCGATGCTATACCATGGACCATTGGCAGCTCATCTTATCTGTCTGCACTAAAAGCTTCACAAATGCAACTTTACACCAGCCTTGTGGGAGTCAATTTTAAGCCGGCGCTCTGACCGCCTGACGTGTCCTGCTCTGCTGCTTGGTTTTCAGTAAACACGGGGAGAAGAAGATAGGTCTAGTTTTAACCAGATTCCAGAAGGATATTCAAGCTGTCATGGAAATCCCATTCTACACTTGGGGTCTTGTCAGAGTAGTAGGCAGACGCTAACCAGGGGATTAGGCTGTGTGACAGTGAGGGACTTTCAGTATCAGGCTCTAACAATGATCTATGGCTCAGCGCTGATTTACAAACCTGCGGTTTAGGATTAAATAATCTGAAGAAGACTGGGCAAGGGAGACTCCCTGAGACTGAGATTCAGGCTAGTCTTTTATTAAGGGAAAGAACTCGGGCCGTCAACCAATCAGAATGTTGGAAAGCAATTAATCCCACAATGGTACTTTGTTCACTCCAGATTAATAGCATATTGATTCTGTGTTTCTTCTAAAGGTTGCTTTGAAGCATTTGAGTTCTCATGTAAACCGACCGATGTTTATTGTTGTGTCAACAAACCACAAAAAGGGCAAATCACAACTTCCTGTTTTTCTTTGTCTTGTTCAACATCAAAGATGTATTTTATAGTTTTGCATTTGTTAACGTCCAACAACAACCTCCGTTTAAGAGCGTCTTTTCTCTGTGACACTTTGGTTGCCTCTGCTATAGGAGCCTAGATGGACATTTATTTATTTTGAAATGATTTTGGTCCAGATTTTGTTCTTGAGTCTGTCTGTCCGTTTTGAAATGATTTTGGTCCAGATTTTGTCCTTGAGTCTGTCTGTCCATGCTCGACTGGACAGGACTGGACTGGACTGCAGCTGGGTCTGGGGGAAGAGAAAAAGCGGCAAGAGCTTTGGTTTTATGTTTGACCAGACTGTAATTAGGAGGGGAATTATAACAATTTGGCGGACAATGGCAGCAGACACTTTGCTATCAATGACACAGACGTATGCACACACGCACTGGTTTGTGGGAGAAGCCAGTTGAACAGCCACTAATCCAGCAGCTCATTTACAATCCCTGTAATGACAACTGGACAGCCCCAGGAGGCCGTGGCCGGGACACGCACGTGTACACACACTGTTCTGCTTTTTGCTGCTCCTGTCTCAGAAAGCTGTCACGTATTACAGTCAGTATAGGTGACATAAAACGTTTACAATAAACAGAAATAGCAAAGAGTTGTAGAAGCTCATAATTATTATCCTGATTATACCTAAAAATACTTTTTTCACACGCTTTGAACCCTGCGACTTAAACAATGATGCGGCTAATTTATGGATTTTTACAAGCTAACAAAATTCATACCGCTAGCAATCAATGACTTTTCGGGCAGGCTGCTGTGCGTTATACTATTAGCGTATGTCTGTTAAGAGACTGTTTATGTTCTGTTGTGCTCGGTGTGGCGGATAATAAAGACCCCCTCTGGGTGTTTTTGTTTACCTCTGCTGTGGACAAGCACAAAGTGAAGGGAGTTAGCCCCGGAGCTAATGTTAGCTTCAGCTCTGAAGCAGATCACAAAGTCTCCCCTGTTAATTCCAACTACAGTCGGGGCTTATTAAAGTGAACTACTTGTCATTGTGACACGTAATACAACATACCAAACAATCAACACATTTGATTTAAAAAAAAAAAGAACAAACATTGAAATTGTAGATAAGATAAATGAACCTGAAAATTAGCTAAAAGTACAGTATAGTAGGGTCACTTCCTCCACAATGTTAGGGAAAATGTTAGTCAAGAATACTACATTTGGTGCAGAAAAGTTAGACACCTGTGGACTTCAATCTTCAATCTCAGTTAAATGGTTAGCAGAAAAAGGCCAAATAGCTTTAATGACTAAAATTAAAATTAGCTGCAGTGGCTAAAATTCATTCAAAATAGCTGAAATCCAACGGAAATAATAACCAAAATAAAATATCTAAATTATTGTAAAAAGGTGAAGTTTCAACCTGACCCTAAATGAAGGGTTGGGAGGGTCAAAAAGTACCAAACTATCACTTCCTCAGTCAGGGGCATTGTGGGATATCTTGCTTTGTCCTACCTTGTCAGTGCTAATCCATAAATGTTAGCTTCAACCTTGAAAACATTCCCTGCTGTCAATCAGAGCTGACCTTAGAGTAACGACCGGGATTAGTGTGGATTAGAGAAGAATTTCTGACTGAAGCCACCGTCAAAGACACGTTTGTGAAAGTGACAACCTGAACGCCGGACGTTATCTGATATCATCACCCAACCGCTGGACTGAGACGCAAGACCAGGAGACAAAAGCCTAGGTATTTTTAAAACGATCCCAGCCCCGTGTTGTTCCTCATACGCCCCAGCAGTTGCAGCTAATCCACCTATGAATTTATTAATTGAATTAATTAATCATCTACCACATTATCCTTTTCAGGGCTGCTGTTTGGTTGGATGTTTTTGGACTTAACATACAGAGAACATCCACAGTGCAAGGCCTGCCTATTCAAATAATGGTTCACGAGCCACATGCAGCCCATAGACAGCCTCAGAGTGGCCCAGTCTGTGGTAATTTCAAAAACATCAAGGAGAAACTGAAAGACTCCCGATTGCAGGATAAAGATATTTTTTTTGCAGTACAGTACAGAAATGTGCCATTTTCTCTTGAGTTGCTTTTTTAAATGTACCCTTCTGTTTTCCTCCACATTTTGTCATACAGTACAACTGTAGCAACAAAAATGTTCCATTCGGCCCACCTGATTGTTTCATAGAGTGAACTTATAATGGAGTAGTCTGTCTGTAGAAGAAGCCCACTAAACACTCCTGAAAACATCTGCCGCCTACTTAGTTCTCATCCAACTGTGTGGCCTTGGACGCCGCTGTTAGCGGCTCTCATTAGGATTTGTTATTTATTTATGACGTGAAGTCAACTGGGTTTTAAAGTCGTTACGAAAGACGATAAAATACTCAGTGAGAGTCGATGCAGTGCCAACAGCAGCTGCAGATGTTCTGCAGATGAAAGCTGTAAAAAAAGTTTTTTGTTTTTTTTTTAAATGGCAGGAATTAAATATTGAGTGTGGAGATGTGATCCACGACTTTTTCAGAGCCTTTTTTGAATCACAGAAAATATATATATATATACATATATATATACATATATACATATATATATATATATA